GCGGAACGCGGCTCCCCGCGCCAGGGGCCAGGATCCAGACGGCCAGGCCCACCAGGTCCTCTGCAGACACTGGCGGAACAGGGCTGTGCAGCCACACTGCCCCAGCCAGGATGCGCCCAAGGGCCGAGGCCCCGCCGTCCCACAGGCGTTTAGCTGCAGCGGAGGGGGGTAGAGGAGGGGGGCGCCGTGGGGACCGCCTCCCTGCACCGGCTGCCACTTCCGAGTTCAGACCCGCCCAGGCCTCCGGCTGTTCGCCCACCGCCCCCCACACTTGCGGCCTCCACTCCACTCAGAGCGCGCCTCCCGCCGGCCCCGCTCCAGGCACCGTCCGTTAACCTTCTGTTCTCATTCCAGAACCGGGCCAGAGCATGCCTTTCGCCCCCGAGTGCACGCCTGCTTGCCCCTCACTGCGTCTGAGACTAATCCTGTCTATTTTCTTTCCTCCCCCCATGTCACTTCGGTCACACCCCGCGTTAACACACCACCCTTTAAGGAGTGCTTTCAGAGTAGCCACACTGAAGGGGTCTTCCCGGAGCGCCCCGACCACCCCCAGCAGACCTACCACAGTAAGGGGCTGTTCAGTATCCCCGAAGTAGCTGAGGACGGGGAGCAGCTGTGGTTCTTGCACAAGCAGGGCTTAGGGTACTCCGCCAGGGCCAGGGCCCGCGCCCGCAGCGGGGACGAGGCCCCCCCGGCGTCCTGGCTCCCGGCAAAACCCAGGGGCCCCGGGGTCGGCCCCCACGCCGAGGACTTCGTGCCGGAAGACAGAGGCTGCCGGTTCGGCCGCTCGGCCAGCAGGAGCCCGGACAGTGGCCTGGACTGTGGGAGCGACGAGGAGGAGCTGCACTTCAGCTTCCGGAACACGGCCAAGTGCAGCCCAGGCCCCGGGCACTGTCGCTGCAGGAGGAGCCTGAGGCCTCTGCTGGCCCGGCGACGGACGCTGACCCGGCAGAGCAGCATCGAGGAGGACTTTGGGGAGCAAGCGGTCCCCGGAGACGCCCTCAGGAGCGATGGCGCCCCCCCGAGCCCAGAGAGAGCCACCCCCAGGAGGTCTGGCTGGGAGGAGCCCCTGGCTCACCAAGGCTCGCGGGATGTCTGCAAGAAAAGCGTGAAAGTGCCCGACAGTAGGGCCACTGGCCGCCAGGCACAGCCGCGTCCCGGGCCCGCAGAAGGCCCCTTGGTGTGTGAAGTACGCTTCCTGCTCACGTCCGCTTGCCAGGCCAATCCATTTCCATTCTCTGCCCCGGTCGGTTTGTTTTGGTAGCCATCCCTGGGGAGCCCCTCTGCTGGCTGGCTTTGGTTTCCATGCATTTTGATTTCCGTCCCATTGCTTCCTGATCTTCGCCCACGCTGACGATCCCATTACTTTGCTGTCGAATACTGACCCCCTCCCCCACCCCCACCCCCACCCCACAGAATCAGCGATGATTGTGGCTGCTTTAATTCAAGGGCAACTGAATCTAAATTTTAATTAAGGGTTAGCTGAACTGTGATTATCCAAAAGTTTGGCAACACTTTTTTTTTTTTTTTTTTTTTTCCCAAAACGAGCCCCAGGGACCTGTTGGTGACCACCACCGGCGGTCCTTACTGATGCTTTTGGTGTTTGGTTGGTGTTGTGTTTTGGCCTTTATCCATAACTGGGGGAAAAAAAAAAGCAGTTATCGAAGAGATCCGTTTCTATATATTGTTTCCAAAGTGGTTTTGTTTTTGTTTTGTTTCCTTTCCCTTTCTTGCCTGTGTCCAGTTTTCAGAATGGGTTTTCCATCATCTGCTGTAGACGCACCCCCTGCCTTGTGTTCCAGGCTTGCAAGCGGGCTGTGGAGAGTAGGGGCTCATTCAAGGCTTCGTTCATGTCTATATTGTGCCCTCTTTTCAGCACATCTGCTCCTGTCACGCTGAACTTTTCCATGAAAACAGGGGCGAGACGCGGCCGGGCGCCAGGCCTCCGGTCTGAGCCCGTGCAGTCGCGGTGTGTCCACCAGAGGGCGCCGATCCGCACCCCGCTGAGTCACCTGCCACCTGCAGCCCCCCACTACCTGCCCCTGCTTGTCACAAGCCGCCTAATTCCTGGGACTCCCTCACCACCGTTCACGCCCCGTGTCCCTGAGAACTTCCTGACTCAGATTACTTCCCAGTGAGCTGGAGGTTTCGCTGTGACTCTCTCGTATGATTCTGACCTTTAGTGCAAATTAGGAGTGAACCCGTCCATAAAGGAGAACCATCCGAGTCAGCCCTGAAAATTGATTGGCGCCTTCGGATTAGGGCCAGGACGTTGCCGTGAGTTTCACAGCCGATAATGCGCAGAAACTTCTGTCTTTGAGTTTTTGGTAACCTCACGTACAGCGCGGTCCAGGCGGGACGTTTGGAAATGCAGTCATCTCCCCGCCTCCGTGATCGCTGCCGGCGGTGGGCGGTTCTGGGACCAGGCAAGGGTCAAGGGCCGTGGGTGGTCAGAGGTGCCAGAGGCATCAGGTGCCTGTGTCAGCCCCTCTCGCTTTGGTTCCAAGATTCCGGCTTCCGCAGCAGTGGCCGCAGGAACCGGTGCCTCCCGAGGAGTCCCCTCTGGCCCCCACCCCCGTGAGTGTGTCGCAAAGGGACTGTGGTCTGGAAGACGGGGCGCCTGGGGTGAGCAACCTGTTTCTCTTCCAGGTTATTCAGCTAACCTTTCAGTTAAAAGCTAAGTTTAGTTGCCTTTAGAGCTTCCGCTTCTAAGTTGACTTGATTTGGCTGACTTAGTTGTTGGGTCCCCCAAGGCTGGCAAGACTCATGACTCCGTTGTTTTGTCTTTAGATTTTAGGAAACCCGGTGTCTGCAGGACGGGCCGACAGGGCGGATCACGCGGGCCGGAGGTTCCCCCACGGCAGTGCTGGCCCTCAGAGGTCGCGGCCAGTGATGGTCCCATCCATCGGTTAGTGGGTCTGGTTGACACCTTTCTCTTTCTTCCGAGCACAGAGCACATGCCTGCTTAGTCCTTGATCTAAACACGTTTAAAAACTTACGAGAAATAGCATTTCAACCACACGCAGAAAACTCTCCATTGCTTATGGCAAAAAGAAGGCAGAAAGCACAGGATAGATAAAACCAGGTACCATATTGGCTTCTTAGGTCTGTCTTCTCCCTGCCGATCTTTATTTATGTTTTCCCGGAGCGGCCGGACGGCATGAGCCCCGGAGAGATCGCAGTGCGCTGCCTCCCACGTCCCTGCTCGTGCTCCCGGGACACGCGCGTGGTCAGAGCGGCACGGGAGCGGGGATGGCGGCCAGTCTCCAAACACAGAAATAAGCCCCGAGTGACGGACAGTTGTCCGCATGCACAACACGCTTTGGCAGCCGGGACCCAAAGCGACAGAAACGCCAGGAGGCCCAAATGTGTCCTCGGAGCATGTGCCGCCCTCCCCCATCCTGTCACCTCCCTGCTCGCGAGTCCCCGTCTGGCACCCCGTGTCCGTTCTTTCCATTCCTTTTTGGGATTGAGCCAGTCTTGCTGACATCCGTCATTTTCGTCCCTGTGACCGACCCGCTGGGCCAGGGGGACGTGGTGGGCGGTGGGATGGGAGGATGTCCGCCAGGGTCATCAGCCCAAACAAACCAGCCTTTCGTGAAAACGCACGCACACGTGGGAAACAAAGCAGGCGGGACTGGGGACGGGTAGAAGAGAATGAGACCCCTTGGCCTGGCAATTCAGGGCTCCAGGAGACAAGTTAGGGGCCTCTAGACGCCCGCACACACGGCTCTAATCGCAGCCAAACCGCTGACATTTACTAGACTGTCCTTTCTGTCACAGGAGCTGGAAAGACAGACAGACGTCTTTAACACAAAACAGATGCTCTGAGTGTCGTCCTCCTTCTGGACTTCTCTTCCTTGTAAAGTCCAGACAGCAGGGAAAAAAACGTTTCCCCTTCCACCTTCACAGCCTTAGGATGTTTTTATCTATTGGCAACAATTTCATGGGATAGGGTCTTTTCCGTTAACCGGAAAATAAGCGGATGCGCAGTCTGACTTGGAAGACGCTGGTCTCTCCCGTGATCTGCGCGTCGTCCCCCGTATCCGTTTCCGAGCCCGGCGGGGTTCTCCTGGCGTGTGAGTGGCTTGTGGGGGACTGACGGGGCGTCTGTGGAAACGAGGCAGGCCTGGGCCAGACGCACGCCCAGACTTTGCTCTTCTCTGCGGTCGTTCTGGGCGTCCGGGTCCTCCCTGGGCTGTGACGAGATGCATGGTAGAGCGCGGCGAGGCTTGTCACGGAGCCGCTGCCGTTCCCGGGGTGGGAGCGTTCGTGTTGTGGGTGCTGGGGCGGGGTGTCCTCTGGCCCCGGTCCCCTGGGACAGGGAGGGAACGTCTGCCCGTGGCCGTGGACCGCCGGGGGGGCGCACAGGGGAAACATCGGCGCGTCCGAGTCGGGCCAGCGGACGTTCTCCCCGGGATGGGCCTCTGAGCGGCTGTGTCTCACGGTAAAGGATCGAAAGGGCTGCACGCGTGTCTTGATCTCAGTAAGACGCCAGTGACGTTAGCGAAGAGTAACGCTGACGTTTTAACGACGACAAAAGCTCTTGATGACGTAACTCAAAAAAGCGCTGCGTAGATTTGTGATTTATTGGTTTAATCGTACCTGACTTCTTACCGTGTGGCAACGCAAGAAACCACGTAAAAGCACGATCGGTGTCATGCACATGGTACGTTCACACACACACAGAAACGCCTAGTATACTCTCAAAGGACGGAAGTGTCGTGCGCTCGGAAGCCGCCAGTGACGCTCGGGAGCTAGTGGTCAGTGACGCGCCAGAAGACTTTCCCCCCAGGTCCTCTTCCGTTTTTCTTGTGCAAATATCAGTTGTTACTTCAGGGGTCTGCTCTACTCCAGAAGCATCTGTGGTCTTTTCCAGGGGACCCTAAGTCTACAGGCCGTACGTTTCCCCGGCACATTTTTAAGAAGCAGTGCGCTCACGATTGAGTTAAGATACCGTACCTTTTCGTATTATCTGGGTTTTCCAAAACGAAGGGAACAGCGCCCCTCCCCGTGTAAAAAGACAAGAGTTGGGGAGCTACGGCCGTAGTGTCGATCTCACAGTCAGCGTGCGGGGGCCCTCAGGACATGGATCGCTGACTCCGCGTGGAGTTCCCCGGGCCCGGCTTCTGGCTTTGTCCTGTTTGGCGTTCGTGTTTACCCGCGTACCCGCAGGGTGCCCCTTCTCCTTGGCGAGGACCCCCTTCTGGGAGTCGGTGGCCTCTCCAGGTTGTCCCATCTCCTCGGCTGTCCTGGCTGCCGAGCTCCCAGAACGAGGAAACGCAGCACATGCTCTCTGTGTGCAGAGAGAAACAATTGAAAATGAATATATGAAGCTTGGCCCTTTAGAACAGAGACGCCTTTTCCACGGGTTTCCCGGCGAGGAGAAAACGAGACGGCGTGAAGTATGTTTAACACGCGACTCCTCTTTCCCTGTACAAATGACCGCGGACGTTACCGGTGAAGGCTGCTGGTCTCGGGCAGGGAGGGCCGGGTCTCACCCGTACAAGACGATGCTTGTTGGCACGGCACGGCTGGACTCGGGAGTCCTGTCCAGGCGCATGGTGTGCAGACCCTTTCTCCCTCCTGAAGAGACCCCCTCCCCCCCCGAACCCGCCAGGGTGACCCGGGGTCATAGCCTCAGGACAGAGAGGGAGGAGTGCCCACACCAGGTCAGACCAGGGCCGGAAGGGAGTTCCTCCTCCTCGGGCCGGACCCCCGGCCGCTCCCTGCGGTCTCTGGGGAGGCCAGGGCCATGGCCACGTTCCACGTGGACACAGTCCTTCTCTGCAAGAAGAGGCAATGAAGCCCCCCTCCTGCCCACACTCCCACCCCCTGCCCCACCAGAAAGAGCCCGTGGGGCAGGTGGGCAGTTCTGCCGTGGCCTCCCCCCGTTTCAGGAGACTCCGGCTGGAGCCTTCGCTGGGACCCAGCCTCGGATGCCTGCCCTGGCCTCCGTGCCTCGGGCAGTGTGGCCACCGTCAGGGTCCCTGAGTCGGGCCAGCTGCCGAGGGTGTGCCGGCCAGTGCAGACCGCAGGGGTGGCTCGAGACCCTCAAGGACGATGGCCGTCGTGGCCAGCCTCCGCCTAGGAGCGGACCTAGTCCCCGGCCCTCGCGCTGTCTGGCCATCGGAGACGTCCGAGAACCCCTGGGAGTGAGTCTGCCTTCCCGGCCGTTCTCCGTTTGTCTGCCCGGGGCAGGGCGCTGCTGGCTGTGCTGTCGTGGGCACCGGGCCCCTTCTGCGCGCCGGCCACTTGCCCGGAGTAGAAGCCGGCCGCCTTCGTGCTGCTGACGGTTTTCTCCGCCTCCCCCCTGCACGCGCTCACCCGAGATCCGCAGAGGCCACGGGGTGGCTTATGTAGCTTCCCACGATTTCAGTTAGGTAGCGTTGAAAAGTAGGGGGAAACGCCTGGGGTCTTTCCATTGACCATAAACAAAATAAAAACTTAGGACACGAATGACGCCCCCCGTTGACAAGCTTTGTTCCTTGGCAGAAGAGAGATCACTGCATTTCTAGATTATCTAGGCGTCCTTAAAGGGTCCCCAACTTAAATAACGTCAGCAGTGCACTGCATTTTAAAAGTCCACTTTTTCGGCTGCTAAAGTGCTTTTGATTTATTTTTCAACTAATTTTTTTTTTTTTTTTCCTTCTGGTGAAGGAAACCGAGTGGCTTGGTTCTTCACTTGTTCTCCTGTCTTTTCTGCGTCCCAGTGGCGTCCTCCCATCGGGGGCCTGGTCGCCGGGGGCCTGGCTGGCTGTGTGAGCCGCCTACGCTCTGCCTCAGTGGCGCTTCCCATTTGCTTCCCGCTGCCGTGGGAGCGCGGTCCCGCTACGATGACGCATACAGCGACATCGACGATGATACCTCATATACACGAATATATAGGATTTCAAAGAATAATTTTTAGCAGCTGGATGATAGGGGGGTTTTGTGAAGAATGCATCTGTTGCTGCTGAAATACTTAATTTTTTTAACGTTTTATTCATTTTTGAGAGACCGAGACCGAGCATGAGTGGGGGAGGGGCAGAGAGAGAGGGAGACCGAATCGGGAGCAGGCTGCAGGCTCTGAGCGGTCAGCCCATAGCCCGACGTGGGGCTCGAGCTCACGAACCAGGAGATCATGACCTGAGCCAAAGTCGGCGCTTCACCGACTGAGCCCCCCCGGGCGCCCCTCTGCTGAAATATTTAGAGCTGAGCGGACAGCTTAGCGGA